ACCCGAAGCAATGAGTACCGCCGCAAGTCTTAAATTACCCTTCTACCCTAGCTCAAAGGATGGCGTGTACGCCTCTGACAGACGCAACACCTGCTTGCGTTAGGATGTCGACCACGCTTCAGTACTTTAGCACTTGCTGGGGTGTTTTATCGGACAGTCAACCCGGAAGTATCAACCCACCACCCCCCGCATCTATTGGAACCACTACGTTTAATAAAGAAAAAAATATCCATGTTTTAATCACAGATAGAAAATAAATTGCTTCAGAAAATGGTTCCCCAAATAAACAATTCCTTTTAAAAAATAATTCATGAACAATTGCACGTTTCTTCAAGTTTTTCGCATTTTTTGTTAAGGAGATCCTTCCCTTCTTCATCATCCCCCCCCCCCCCCTCCGGAGAGTTTTTGTACAAGCTGATGCCCACATTTGCTGTTTCCGATTGAATGATTTTCTTGGCAAGCATTAACTAATTTTTATTGCGACATTTTTTTTGCCTACAGATTGAAACGATTATAAAAAGTCGGGTTCCTATCGCCAAATTTATAGAGTGATGTCTTATCTACTAGTTTTATATATGCATTTATTGCTGGATTTAATTTTTTAACCAATTTATATCGGCGTTTTCAGCGAAATGAGTTGTCACCTCTTGGAATCTTAATTACCTGGAGATATACAGTCGTTTCCGTTTAATCGGGGCACCGGTTAATAGTTTCAGCCGTTTATTTGGACCAAATAATAAAGAACGAATCAGGAAGGTACATTTCTTTTTTCGAACTAGGCATATTCTGACAACCTACTTATTTTAGGCGATAAGCCTCCAGAGACGTAGCGACCTATTGCGGCGCCTGGGGCGAACTATCGACTTTGCGCACCCCCCCCCCCCCATTAAATATAATTATTCACGTTGGCAAAAAGTGCCACCCTTCCTATATAAAAAGGTCGGGGGGTGCTTTTAAGCAGTCACCATCTCTTGATATTTTATTTTGGTGTCACGCAATTAATGTAAACAAATCAGTTAAATAAAGTAGTAGTCTACATTCTTAACTTCAACTGGGTATAATTCTGTAATTCAGCTAAGAGTTTTTTTGTTCCTACTCCATTTGGCGCCCCAGCCGCCCTCCCCTAGCTACGCCTCTGAAAACCTCCGCCCTGGATTGTTCCGATTAAGCGGGAATCGACTGCGTAAGACATGTTTGGACGTACGTGCTAAAAACTTCCAAGTTCACGATTTCGATGTGGTCGGGTTTTTTTTAAAATTAGGCTCAGCTAGAAGGGAATGCACGTGGTTGTTATGTTAATTAAAACCAATCTACCCGTGGACTATCACTGTGGTGTTACATTCTCACGGTGCGTTTGTGTAGCCACCCTTCAAAGGTGTCCTGGACTCACCCCTGACCTCTCCCTGGGTCAGTGTATTGGAATGTTGAACTACGTAACATCCATACACGTTCATCTGTCAGATGTATTTATAGACGTAGGCATGGGCGTCAACCACAAGTTGGTTTGTTTCATGTGGTTTTGCCCCTCCCCCTCCCTCTCCCCATTTCAGATTTCTGTAAAAATTAAAGTCAAGTATCCGTTGTGAACGGTCAATATGACTGATAGGGTTTACGTCCTTTGTGTGGCATCAACATATTGTATAGGGATCGTGTAGTTGGTTCAATGCCTTTCCTGCCTACAGCTTCTGTAAACTAAACATTATTGGTATGGGGGTAGGCCTACCTGTTTCACTAAACCTTTAAATCCCGGGGGTACCTGTTTCACAAAACCTTAAAATCCCGGGGGTACCTGTCTCACTAACATTCAGATCCCGGGGGTACCTGTTTCACAAAACCTTCAGATCCCGGGGGTACTTGTTTCACAAAACCTTCAGATCCCGGGGGTACCTGTTTCACAAAACCTTCAGATCCCGGGGGTACCTGTTTCACAAAACCTTCAGATCCCGGGGGTACCTGTTTCACAAAACCTTCAGATCCCGGGGGTACCTGTTTCACAAAACCTTCAGATCCCGGGGGTACCTGTTTCACAAAACCTTCAAATCCCGGGGGTACCTGTCTCACTAACATTCAGATCCCGGGGGTGCCTGTTTCACAAAACTTTCAGATCCCGGGGGTACTTGTTTCACAAAACCTTCAGATCCCGGGGGTACCTGTTTCACAAAACCTTCAAATCCCGGGGGTACCTGTCTCACTAACATTCAGATCCCGGGGGTACCTGTTTCACAAAACTTTCAGATCCCGGGGGTACCTGTTTCACAAAACCTTCAGATCCCGGGGGTACCTGTTTCACAAAACCTTCAGATCCCGGGGGTACCTGTTTCACAAAACCTTCAGATCCCGGGGGTACTTGTTTCACAAAACCTTCAGATCCCGGGGGTACCTGTTTCACAAAACCTTCAGATCCAGGGGGTACCTGTTTCACAAAACCTTCAGATCCAGGGGGTACCTGTTTCACAAAACCTTCAGATCCAGGGGGTACCTGTTTCACAAAACCTTCAGATCCCGGGGGTACCTGTTTCACTAAACCCTCAGATCCCGGGGGTACCTGTTTCTCTAACATCTCCCCACGCCAGAACCGCGCTGCCATTTTTTCCTTGCCCTACCAGACGTTGACGGATGGCGCAGCTTGACATTGATCTGTTTCCGGTTCCGGTCTCCGACGTTCTCTTTATTGCAGGCAATGTGGCTTTAAGATTTAGCTCCTCTCATTGCTATAAAACCATTTTTTTTTCTTTCTGGAACTTCGGAACCTCGGCCCAAGAAAAAAAAATATGAAAGGGTATCAATTAGAAAGACATTGATCCTACAGGGCAGGCATATTTTGCTATTGGCGTTCATTAAAAGCCTAAAAATGAAACCCAGAGAGGGAAATTGATAGCGTCTTGTATTTCAACATTTCTGAAGATTGGAGTGAAAAAATGGAGAGAGATTGTCTGACAACTGTCGCATTGCTTGATTACGTCCCCTCATACCCCGAGCTCTTGAGCGAGGATTTAATTAGGGGTATTGCAAAATGTTCAAAGTGAACAAGAGAAAACACAAACGATTGTGTTTATTTTCCTAGAAATAAGGCATTCGGTGAAATAAAATAGACCCAGTGGGTTGGGAGGAGGAATAGACCCAAATGATAGACTGAAAATTTTAATTCACTGTTTGAGGCTGTTTCAACAAATCTGAATCGCTCTCCTTTTCTTACACCAATCTATGCTTTGAATGACTGCTTCTGTTGTTGCTTCTTTTTCTGCCCATTCTGTTCACGGTGTGTAATTAAAGACAGTTTTTAACTGGGCAAAGATCTGGCTGTTTTTGTTTTTGGAGGCTTTATTCTCTATTTCCCCCCCCCCCCCCCCTAGCCTTACAGCGTTCCCGTTGTGTTGAGTTTTTTAATGGCTGTAAAATGGAAAATGGATTGAATCGCTTCTCCTTTATGTCGTCTGCGCAATGACAACCGTTATGTCGGCTTGACCTACTTTTACAACTCAACACCGGAAGTGTATTATACCGGGGTTATTTTCTTTTTTAAGAAATTAAAAAAGTAGACCCGGGTTAGGTTAAATAAACAAAACACCATATTCAATATTTTGCTATTTCCTGTTAAACGCGAGGCAAAGATTCATGTACGGTTAGGATAAAGAATTAAGTTTATGCTTAAGGCATGGGTATCAACGGTGAACTCTGGTTAACATATCGAATATCGTTTATCATTTCTCTGGGTGGGGTGGGGGGGGGGGGGGGGGGGTTGAAGTGTAAACCAACTAAACCAGATTTAATAACCATCTTGAACAACTGGATGTGTAATCTGACTATTGCATGTCTGTACTCTAGTATAGTTGTATGTTGTGTAAGAGCTGGTCTGACTATTCACCATTTATGTTCTTAGAATAACTATCTTTGTAGAACATTTAAAACTATGTCCATAAAGCTCTATACTACAACCTAATGTTCTATGCCCACAATGCTCCATACTACAACCTAATGTTCTATGCCCACAATGCTCCATACTACAACCAAATGTTGTATGCCCACAATGCTCCATATTACAACCTAATGTTCTATGCCCACAATGCTCCATATTACAACCTAATGTTCTATGCCCACAATACTCCATACTACAACCAAATGTTCTATGCCCACAATGCTCCATATTACAACCTAATGTTCTATGTCCACAATGCTCCATACTACAACCAAATGTTCTATGCTCACAATGCTCCATACTACAACCTAATGTTGTATGTTCAAAATGCTCCATACTACAACCTAATGTTCTATGTCCACAATGCTCCATACTACAACCTAATGTTCTATGCCCACAATGCTCCATACTACAACCTAATGTTCTATGCCCACAATGCTCCAAACTACAACCTAATGTTCTATGTCCACAATGCTCCATACTACAACCTAATGTTCTATGTCCACAATGCTCCATACTACAACCTAATGTTCTATGCCCACAATGCTCCAGACTACAACCTAATGTTCTATGTCCACAATGCTCCAAACTACAACCTAATGTTCTATGTCCACAATGCTCCATACTACAACCTAATGTTCTATGCCCACAATGCTCCAAACTACAACCTAATGTTCTATGCCCACAATGCTCCAAACTACAACCTAATGTTCTATGTCCACAATGCTCCAAACTACAACCTAATGTTCTATGCCCACAATGCTCCAAACTACAACCTAATGTTCTATGCCCACAATGCTCCAGACTACAACCTAATGTTCTATGTCCACAATGCTCCAAACTACAACCTAATGTTCTATGTCCACAATGCTCCATACTACAACCTAATGTTCTATGCCCACAATGCTCCAGACTACAACCTAATGTTCTATGTCCACAATGCTCCAAACTACAACCTAATGTTCTATGTCCACAATGCTCCATACTACAACCTAATGTTCTATGCCCACAATGCTCCAAACTACAACCTAATGTTCTATGCCCACAATGCTCAATCCTACAACCGAATGTTCTATGTCCACAGTGTACAAGTCGCCTGAGTATGAAACTATGGGATTCGAACATTTGAAATCCCAACTTGTCAAGATGGGCTACCCAAAAGTCATCCAAGACTTTATGTACGACCCAAGTTTCCCAATCAGGTAGGATTTCACTGTCGCTGTACTTTGCATATCAGGTTAGATTTCACTGTATCCTATGACTTTATCAGGTCAGATTTCACTGTATCCCAATAAAGTCTTCATTTTGACTAGCAGACTTAGTATTTGACTGAAATTAAATCCATTATTTCACACCATCCAAGCTTGCATCACCTCATACATTACGCACATGTTACTTTCTTTTGTCGTCTCCTCATTAACACAGCAGTGGCTTGTAGAAAAATATGCCTGAAATGTAAATAAAATAGAAATGTGTTAAGGAATGCGACCTGTAAAATGAGTGCCTCGCCTAGATCCCTTAAGCGCGTGTTGAGTAAGACCGTCCTATGCTGGTTGTGGTTTTGGAGTTGCTCCAAGATTTAAATCCCCTACCTCCTGAAAATGACTTAATTAAAATAAATCGTGTTAAAATTAGGGTGAAGCACATATTTAGTATGTCAGTTTAGTTTAGGATGGTTAATTTCGTGGCCAAATTCTCGCCAGGTAGATTAGGTTTTTTGGTTGAAATGCTGTCTGTTCAATATATTTGGCGGTGGTTTTTCCTGTGAAGTTGATTGTTAATGTGTTCCTTCGTGCAAATGGAAGTGGTTGTGGGTTGGTGTGGATATGGAATTCTCTAGGAGGAAATCAGGTGATGAAAGGTACCGGGTGGGAGGGGGAGGAAATAAATAGCTGTTGAAATGTGGGTGGGTGGTGTACTGGGGTGTTTTGGTGCGGATGAAGTAGAGTTCTTCTGTTTCTTTGGCTACGGCCGAACTTGATTTCTGGTATTCATTTACTGATGAGGGTTATCCATTGTGAGCTGAGTAAGTTCTCGATAACGTTTTCACACACCTGGTACAGAACACGGCACACACCTGGTACAGAACACGTCACACACCTGGTACAGAACACACGACACACCTGGCACAATACACTACACACACCTGGTACAATACATGCCACACACCTGGTACAATACACTACACACACCTGGTACAGAACACGTCACACACCTGGTACATAACGCATCACACACCTGGTACAGAACACACGACACACCTGGTACAGAACACACGACACACCTGGTACAGTACACTCCACACACCTGGTACAGAACACATGACACACCTGGTACAGAACACGTCACACACCTGGTACAGAACACACGACACACCTGGTACAATACACTACACACACCTGGTACAGAACACGTCACACACCTGGTACATAACGCATCACACACCTGGTACATAACGCATCACACACCTGGTACAGAACACATCACACACCTGTTACATAACGCATCACACACCTGGTACATAACGCATCACACACCTGGTACAGAACACACGACACACCTGGTACAGAACACGCCACACACCTGGTACAGAACACACGACACACCTGGTACAGTACACTCCACACACCTGGTACAGAACACATGACACACCTGGTACAGAACACGTCACACACCTGGTACAGAACACACGACACACCTGGTACAATACATGCCACACACCTGGTACAATACACTACACACACCTGGTACAGAACACGTTACACACCTGGTACAATACACTACACACACCTGGTACAGAACACATCACACACCTGGTACAATACACTACAAACACCTGGTACAATACATGCCACACACCTGGTACAATACACTACACACACCTGGTACAGAACACACGACACACCTGGTACAGAACACACGAAACACCTGGCACCGAACACACGACACACCTGGAACTGAACACACCTGGAACTGAACACCTAACCCATCTGGCACTAAACACGTCACGTGTCATGTACTGAACACGTGACACAGTTAAGCCCGGGCCATGTTTACAAATGGCCAGCTGTTTGGTAAACAACCGAATGTAAACATAAACAACATACCTGGACAGATGTCTAGTTGGGTACTTTAATTTACTGGCCTCGCTGACGTCATCGCATTGTAAACACACACACAGACACACACAGACACACACACACAGTTACAGACCCAGTTCTGTTTGATGGGGTGCACCAGTACAACAGGCAGGGTCTAAAGTACATGTTCAGCGTCTAGTCAAGGAAACAAGTATATCAGTATCTGCTCAGATATGTTTACCACAGACTGGTGTATTGTTGTATCACCACCAAAGCCTTAGCTTCCAAATATATCACAATACAACTAAATGTATTGCAGTCACATGTATCACAGCATTACTAAAATGTGTAGCAGGCAAACACACCATAACACCACAGCAGATGTATTTAGCACAAACATATATTCCATCCACCAACCACAACATCGACCAACACATCAACCATACATGTACCAAATCGACCAACACATCAACCAGACATGTACCAAATCGACCAACACACCAACCAGACATGTACCAAATCGACCAACACATCAACCATACATGTATCAAATCGACCAACACATCAACCAGACATGTACCAAATCGACCAACACATCAGACATGTACCAAATCGACCAACACATCAACCAGGCATGTACCAAATCGACCAACACATCAACCATACATGTACCAAATCGACCAACACATCAACCATACATGTACCAAATCGACCAACACACCAACCAGACATGTACCAAATCGACCAACACACCAACCAGGCATGTACCAAATCAACCAACACATCAACTAGACATGTACCAAATCGACCAACACATCAACCAGGCATGTACCAAATCGACCAACACATGAACCAGACATGTACCAAATCGACCAACACACCAACCACACATGTACCAAATCGACCAACACATCAACCAGACATGTACCAAATCGACCAACACATCAACCAACATGTACCATAACGACCAACACATCAACCACACATGTACCAAATCGACCAACACACCAACCAGACATGTACCAAATCGACCAACACATCAACCACACATGTACCAAATCGACCAACACATCAACCAACATGTACCATAACGACCAACACATCAACCAACATGTACCAAATCGACCAACACATCAACCACACATGTACCAAATCGACCAACACATCAACCAACATGTACCATAACGACCAACACATCAACCACACATGTACCAAATCGACCAACACATCAACCACACATGTACCAAATCGACCAACACATCAACCAACATGTACCATAACGACCAACACATCAACCACACATGTACCAAATCGACCAACACATCAACCACACATGTACCAAATCGACCAACACATCAACCAACATGTACCATAACGACCAACACATCAACCACACATGTACCAAATCGACCAACACATCAACCAACATGTACCATAACGACCAACACATCAACCACACATGTACCAAATCGACCAACACATCAACCAACATGTACCATAACGACCAACACATCAACCACACATGTACCAAATCGACCAACACATCAACCAGACATGTACCATAAGGACCAACACATCAACCACACATGTACCAAATCGACCAACACATCAACCAACATGTACCATAACGACCAACACATCAACCACACATGTACCAAATCGACCAACACATCAACCAACATGTACCATAACGACCAACACATCAACCACACATGTACCAAATCGACCAACACATCAACCAACATGTACCATAACGACCAACACATCAACCACACATGTACCAAATCGACCAACACATCAACCAGACATGTACCATAAGGACCAACACATCAACCACACATGTACCAAATCGACCAACACATCAACCAACATGTACCATAACGACCAACACATCAACCACACATGTACCAAATCGACCAACACATCAACCAGACATGTACCAAATCGACCAACACATCAACCAGACATGTACTATAACGACCAACACATCAGGACATGTACCATAACTACATCTTCACCTACTCCTGTGACTGATGCTCATCTTCCACCCCCAGAGGTCTGTGGTTTGACAACCTATACGGCACCCTGCTCAAGGTCGACGGGTTTGGCAACATCATGGTCTGTCTAAAGGGCTTCAAGTTCTTGAAATTGTGAGTACATTTTCGTAAATCATATTCTCTAACTTGTCAACTGTAGTGATTGTCTATCTTTTACTAGTTCCTTGTAATCATTGCCATTTTCTTACTTGTCAACTGTAATCAAAATCTTTGACTTGTCAACTTTAATCATATTCTCTGAGTTATCAGCTATTGGTCAACAATTGTGACATGTCCATATAGACATATTGTCACAAACATACATATAAATTATTGACTAAATTATTTTACACCAAACTACGCAAACTACACCGAGTGCTTTATATTACATGTGTTTATAATTTTAAAAAGTCAGTTCTTCCTAAGTTTCAAACTTGTTATAGTTATATCAACGTGTAATATAATTCTTAGATTTAATTGGAAAATGTCAAAACGCCTAGCTAGCAAAGGGGGCTAGCTGTACCGATAAAGGGAGGCTAGCTGTACCGATAAAGGGAGGCTAGCTGTACCAATAAATGGAGGCTAGCTGTACCAATAAAGGTAGGCTAGCTGTACCAATCAAAGGGAGGCTAGCTGTACCAATCAAAGGGAGGCTAGCTGTACCAATAAAGGGAGGCTAGCTGTACCAATAAAGGGGGACTAGATGTACCGATAAAGGGAGGCTAGCTGTACCGATAAAGGGAGACTAGCTGTACCAATAAAGGGAGGCTAGCTGTACCAATAAAGGGAGACTAGCTGTACCAATAAAGGGAGGCTAGCTGTACCAATAAAGGGAGGCTAGCTGTACCAATCAAAGGGAGGCTAGCTGTACCAATAAAGGGAGGCTAGCTGTACCAATAAAGGGGGACTAGATGTACCGATAAAGGGAGGCTAGCTGTACCAATAAAGGGAGGCTAGCTGTACCAATAAAGGGAGGCTAGCTGTACCAATAAAGGGAGGCTAATATACCAATAAAGGGAGGCTAGCTGTACCAATAAAGGGAGGCTAGCTGTACCAATAAAGGGAGGCTAGCTGTACCAATAAAGGGAGGCTAGCTGTACCAATAAAGGGAGGCTAGCTGTACCAATAAAGGGAGGCTAATATACCAATAAAGGGAGGCTAGCTGTACCAATAAAGGGAGGCTAGCTGTACCAATAAAGGGAGGCTAATATACCAATAAAGGGAGGCTAGCTGTACCAGTGTAACTATAGACGAGGACACTGGGATCCTCCAGGCTCAGCGCCCAGACAAGCAAAGCCGACATGAAAAAGATAAATTAAAGCCGAGCATTTTCTACTTAATTATTTCTTTCTGAAGACAGCCGACGCTGGGGCTGGTCATTAGGGGGGAGGGCGACCCGCCCCGCTAGTCTAGCTAATTCCAGTTCCAGGAGCGTCTTAGACAGTGCCGTGTCTTGAGATTTGTGCAGACGGTACCCAGGCTCCTCGAGGCGACCAGCCCGGCTGCCTAAAGCTGGAGAGATTTTCTTTGTCACTGGTGCGTTCATGTCTGGTCATTTGATTGCTCTCCCTGCCGGCTTTGGTGCTAAAACTTGGTTTAAGGTGTGGATTTTGATTTCATAGTGTGTTGCTAGCTTTCGTGGTAGGAGCTGATTCCCTAGGTCGTAGCTAGCTTAGGGTTGTAGGGAATGGTTGTAAAAATGGACGATTTTATGTTGTGTTTAGTGTAAAATTTGGTATTTTAATGACTTTGCTAATATCGTGTTAACTCAAACAACCTATTACGTTAAACGAATTAGTGATATGATGATAAAAAGAACAGCAACTTGGGTTTGTTGATACATTTACTGACCGTGCACATTGTTCTGATATTTTGGTTAGCCTAGCGAAGAATGCAGTTGTAGCAGATACGGCACGGGGTGAAGACAGGGGCGTTGTGATGCAGCGTTAAGCATGTTATGCATGTTAATTAGTTGAGAGCTTTTTTGTCTTGCGCTAGTTGCAACTATGCATCTGCGCATGACTGTTGAAAGTGTTCTTGACGCATCACATTCGGGATTTCCCGCTGTACTGACACGTACAATTTTATTGTGTTAAAAGTGCAAGTTTCCTCCCATCATATTTGGGACTTCCCGCTACCCAGACGCACAATTTTAGTGTTGAAAGCTACTTAACCCATCAGATTCGGGACTTCTACATAGACCGTACAATTTTACAGTGTTGAAAGCGCTACTTTCTCCCATCAGATTCGGGACTACTACATAGACCGTACAATTTTACAGTGTTGAAAGCGCTACTTGCCCCATCAGATCACTTTACAATACTTCACATGATGTTTAAAAGTTTCTTTCGTCTCCATCTCTAGTTGAAAGACTGGCTTTAACCCACCTCGCCCGTGGGGTAGGTACAACCCCCCGGGCCTAAGTGCAATAACCGAGGTTTGTTTTATCTACCGCTATGTTAATTCTCCGGCTGACTGTAGCATGCTGTGAGTCGGGTCCCGCTGTGTATTATTGTTCTTTGGTCGCCGTTTGCTTTTGGGGTGTGGTCTATTTATGTGTAAGGGGCGTTTGTTGAAATAGGTTTTAATGTAAGGGAAACAATGTTAAAATATCAGAGAAACAATGGGAGAAAGCGGATACGTCGGAGAACGGGGCTACAGGACCAGAGAAACTGCTAGTCTTATAACATATGAGCAACATGTATGTACTAATCTTACATTAACATACTAATCTTATAAAGTGAGCAACATTTAGATACAAATCTTATAAATCGAGCAACATTTATATACTGATCTTATAAAGCGAGCAACATTTTTATACTGATCTTATAACGCGAGCAGCATTTATATACTGATCTTTTAAAGCGAGAAAAATTTTATATACTGATCTTATAATGCTAGCTACATTTCTATACAAATCTTGCAAAGCGAGCAACATTTATATACAAATCTTATAAAGCGAGCACCATTTATATACTAATCTTATAAAGCGAGCAATATTTATATACTAATCTTATAAAGCGAGCAACATTTATGTACTAATCTTATAAAGCGAGCACCATTTATATACTAATCTTATTACGTGAGCACCATTTATATACTAATCTTATAAAGCGAGCAACATTTATGTACTAATCTTATAAAGCGAGCACCATTTATATACTAACCTTATTACGTGAGCACCATTTATACACTAATCTTATAAAGCGAGCAACATTTATGTACTAATCTTATAAAGCGAGCACCATTTATATTCTAACCTTATTACGTGAGCAACATTTATACACTAATCTTATTACGTGAGCACCATTTATACACTAATATTATTACGTGAGCACCATTTATATACTAATCTTATTACGTGAGCACCATTTATATACTAATCTTATCACGTGAGCACCATTTATATACTAATCTTATTACGTGAGCACCATTTATATACTAAGCTTATAAGCGAGCACCATTTATATACTAATCTTATTACGTGAGCACCATTTATATACTAATCTTATCACGTGAGCACCATTTATATACTAATCTTATTACGTGAGCACCATTTATATACTAAGCTTATAAGCGAGCACCATTTATATACTAATCTTATTACGTGAGCACCATTTATATACTAATCTTATTACGTGAGTACCATTTATATACTAATCTTATTACGTGAGCACCATTTATATACTAATCTTATAAAGCGAGCACCATTTATATACTAATCTTATTACGTGAGCACCATATATATAGAATTCTTATTACGTGAGCACCATTTATACAGCAATGACAATTCTTGACTTCCTTTAAAGAGATCTTCTTATCTCACGAGAAAACTTTCACTCCGCCTAATTAGAGCGTCATTAAGATAATGACGCATTACATCAGGGTGTCAGAAAAATGATTCCGTCCTCTCCCGTCACCTCCTAGTTCCGGTCCCTGGCCGGCTAATGGCCAACCGTACGGTTAGATCGCTACTGGGTTTCTTTCCTTATCGTCTGCTCCTGTCACTGGTGTATGCGCCGTCAGGTGGGAAACTGTGTCAGGCGGTGGGGAAATTGTTAGTGACGTCATCGTGGTCAGTCGCTCGTGGCTAAGCTGCGAGGTCATTGTATGCTAAAACAATCTTTGGGTTAGGTCAATCAATTTTTGGGCTGGGTCAGGACAATCTTTGGGTCAGGACAAACTTTCGGCTGGGTCAGGTCAATCTTTGGGCGGGGTCAGGACAATCTTTGAGCTGGGTCAGGACAATCTTTGGGTCAAGACAAACTTTCGGCTGGGTCAGGTCAATCTTTGGGCGGGGTCAGGACAATCTTTGGGTCAGGACAGTCTTTGGGTCAGGACAATCTTTGGGTCAGGGCAGTCTTTGGGTCATGACAATCTTTGGGTCAGGACAATCTTTGGGTCAGGACAATCTTTGGGTCAGGACAATCTTTGGTTCAGGACAATCTTTGGGTCAGGAAATCTTTGGGTCAGGACAATCTTTGGGTCAGGACAATCTTTGGGTCAGGACAATCTTTGGGTCAGGACAATCTTTGGGTCAGGACAATCTTTGGGTCAGGACAATCTTTGGGTCAGGACAATCTTTGGGTCAGGACAATCTTTGGGTCAGGACAATCTTTGGATCAGGACAATCTTTGGGTCAGGACAATCTTTGGGTCAGGACAATCTTTGGGTCAGGACAATCTTTGGGTCAGGACAATCTTCGGGTCAGGACAATCTTTGGGTCAGGACAATCTTTGGATCAGGACAATCTTTGGGTCAGGACAATCTTTGGGTCAGGACAATCTTTGGGTCAGGACAATCTTTGGGTCAGGACAATCTTCGGGTCAGGACAATCTTTGGGTCAGGACAAGCTTTGGGTCAGGACAATCTTTGGGTCAGGACAATCTTTGGGTCAGGACAATCTTTGGGTCAGGACAATCTTTGGGTCAGGACAATCTTTGGGTCAGGACAATCTTTGGGTCAGGACAATCTTTGGGTCAGGACATTCTTTGGGTCAGGACAATCTTGGGGTCAGGACAAGCTTTGGGTCAGGACAATCTTTGGGTCAGGACAATCTTTGGGTCAGGACAATCTTTGGGTCAGGACAATCTTTGGGTCAGGACAATCTTTGG